CTAAGGAGAGGCATTACAGGTCTTTCAGATGAGGGTAAGTGCTTTGTACGTATGTTTTCAGAAATTTCTCGCACAGGTGTTGGAGAACGGTGGTCTTCTTTAACTCTCTTATGGGTCATTCCATGCCAAATCAACACAAAAAAATGAGCACCCCTTCAAATTTCTACGAAACTTACCTGATATGTTCACCACATTACGTTATCTTTTCAGTTGTATTTCGGTACCCAAAAGTTGTATGGCTTTCTTGTTACAGTATCGTTTTTACCAAAAACTTTGTTATCCCTTATCTAACACCTAAAATTATAACTGCATTACTATTTGTAGTTAGATAACAATACTCATACCCAACAATAGCCAAAAGAACTGCCTTTCACATATTATTTTTGTGGGCGTGGTCAATGATGATAAGGTCAAAGGTCATTAATCAAATTTACGTTACATCATAAGTCAAAAACAGCACATTTTATTTTGATAAGTTTTTTTCTTAATAAAGCCTGAGGTATACTCTAGAATCTGTGTAAATTTTATGTTGGGACAACTATGTGCCTTAGAGATATTAATTATTTCATTTATTCCTTTGAACACAATCCTGCGTGGGTGGAACAATTTTTTGTTTTTATGTTGTTGTTTGAACTTCATTACATTACTATTATTATTTTTTAGGGTTTTATGTTGTCAAACAAAATTCAAAAATGTTATTGTTTATAATAATGTTTCACAGTTTGTTGGTTGCAAGAGTTTTTTCCTTTTTTGTTAGTGTGTATGTACGTCCTGTAGTTGTTCTTGGGTCCACTTTAGTTAAAATGCTACTTGAAGGAATAATAAGCACATCAGGAACATTTGGATACTTGTACGAATGTGCTGGACCTTGTGGATGTAATAAGGTTACTTTGACTTCGGAATTCTCCTCATCTTTATCAAGAACATATGCCAACCACCAGTTCTTATTGTACACACAAGTCACATAGCCAAAAATAGTCTCTAAATCCATGTCACTACTTTGTATCCTGACCTTATCTTCTTTGAAAGTCTATACATGTATGCTTGTACCATTGTTTTTAGTTAAAACTAATTCATATTTTAGTGACGCATTTTGCTTATACTGAAACTAAAACTAAAAGTCAAATTTCTTAATGTTTATAACAATAACTAATAATAGCCAAAACTTCATTTGGACATTGGACTCCTGATAACTACGACTGAGATTAAATAAAACTAAGTTTAACATAAACTGTAGCAATCATAAGACATGAGACTCAAGTTTATATTAAGAGTAGGATTTACATTACTAACTCATTTTACAATGTATTATGTGTGTTTCTGTAATTTTCATCCACTAGATAACTAAAGGTAAAATACAATGCTTTTTTTACAATAATTACAATTAAAATCATGTCTAACTAGAATCTACAACTAAAACATTAAGAGCCCATATACTAAAGCAATATTACCCTAACAATGCCCACAAAGTAATTTAAGTTTCACACTTGATAATTTCTATGGTAACAAGTCTACTTATACAAGGTGCAAATAATATGGCTACTAAACAGTGGAGAAACTCTTGCTGCAATCCCTTCAATAAAGAGAAGCACAATGTCAGAGAGAAAAGACAGTTAAGAACAGTTACAAAAAGTATTTGTGAGAAATTTCCATCTATTTTACCTGGAGAGAAGATATGTGATACTTGCAGGAAGAAACTGAGTACTTTGAGTGAGATTCCACAGTTAGATGTAGACCAATCCATGAGCCTCTCAGATTCAAACTACTCTTCTGAATCAGCTTCTCCAGTAAGGCTTTTTCAAGCTTCTGCTGCTCAACAAGAAAGGGATAAAGCTAATGAATACCTTAAATGTATAGGTATGACTCCACTCACTAAAAGGAAGCTACAAAGTAGTAAGTACCAAAATAAAAAGATGGAACAAATTACAAGCCAGTTAGCAATGGCAGGATTCAATGTAACAACATCTGATGAGGAGGAAATCATTACTCAACTAAAGGAAAAATTTCACATAGCTACTCGAAGTGAAAAAGTACAAATTTTAACTATCCTCCCTCAAAGTTGGTCTATTCGTAAGATACAAAATGAATTTGGTGCA